TGTATTGTATCCTTTATCCCACTTTTGAGGAGTTTATTGTGTTTTGTTTTCTTTTGTGGATTTTGAAAATTATTTTTATTTGGAGGCAGATTGTCAGTCTCTATAACCTAAATGTATTGAACTCATTAGTATCCAAGGATACTACTCATTAGAAAATATAATTTTACAATCCTAATTAAAATACAGGGAACAAATAAACAATTATGTGGGGCATTTCATGTCTTTTGGGATGAAATGAAGTTAAGAAATCTTAAGAAGTCTGAAGAAGTCTGTAATCCATTCTTTCTTTCTTTCTTTCTTTTTTTTTTTTTACTACTGCTCTGGGTCCAATTTATTCAAACTGTAGTTCATCTTAAAGTTTGAAAACAACACCTCCCATACTCTAGGACTGTTGCATTTGAGTCTCTCTTCACTTTAATGTCTCCATCTGCCCTTACACACTCTGCAGCATCCATGCCATCTTTTTATATTTCTAGCCCTGAATGGGCATTTTATAATACTGACAGCTTTATCCCCAGGTTATTCATTTGCAAACACTCCAGCATCTAAGGAGTTGAAAGAACAGTACAATTCCTGTCAGAATCAGTTCCATCCATTAAGGAAACTTGCCCCCAAACTGGCCACAAATCATCTGCCCTCTCATTTCTTTTCCAGATAGCAGAGCTTGTTTCCATCATTTTGAAAGCATAACAGACTCTCGCCCATATGCAAATCTATATTCCTTGCAAATTTTCCAGAATAGACTTGAGATGTGCCAAAGGCAGTATTCCAATTGTAAATATTTGGAAAGTTCCAGTCCATTTATTTTTGTCTCAGTTATTAACCTCCAAAACAGTACACATCTCTCTCCCACACATCCAGGTTTTACTGATGCAATCTGTCTGTGTTTATCTACTGAAGTCCCCAAACCCTTACTTACTCTGATTTTTGATGTGTGTTGTCACCCAACATATTTTCAATGCACACCATGTCAAAGGCCCCTCTCTAGGCACTGGGGTACAGCAGTGACTGTGGGTCACTGTGGAGCTTACACTGGTGTAAACAGTCAATGGCCGTCATCTGGACAACTAGCAAGAGAAGTACCTATGAGCAAGTGGGGACGTGAGGAATGATGGGCTGAGAGCTTCCCGGTACCCTGAAATCCCCCAAGCACGCAGCTATTTGTGTGGGTACCCAGAGGCCACCCCTCACTGGGACTGTGGGAGGAGTCAGTCATAGTACTGGAGAGGCTCCAAGAGACAAGGTGGGGAGGGCAAGGCTTGGTTCAGAGAAAGGCTGGTCGTGGTTCTGCAAACAACTCCATTCTGTCCTTTCTTGTCTCAGTGAGAACTGGAGCCCTCACTGCTATGCATCAGCCCATGGATTCCTAAGACGCTGCAGGGGTTGAGAAAAGTTAAGATGCTGCATTGTACCTAAGTGTTTTGCCATATTATATTATGAACATTTTCAAATATTCAGCAAAAGTGAGTAAGTTTTAGTGAATATTCATATACCTACCCTCTAGATTCCACTATTAATATGTTATTGTGCTTAGTATACCACACATATATGCCCATATATCAATCCCTTAGCCCATCAGTGTTTTTTTTTTTTTTTTTT